TAAACTAGTACTTGTACCCGCGCGATGCGCGGTCAATATTAAAAAATATTAGTTTAATTAAATTGTAATCGGACTCGTTTGAACATATTAGACCGTATTGCTTTAATAAATTTCAATTGTCATTTTTCCTTTCAATACGATATACCCAATACTAAAATCTTTATTAAATTAAAGTTTAATTATATAGTCATCAGATAACTTTTTTGTTATGTATTTTCTTTATTATATTATCCAACGTTTAGTGTTATCACATTGTTAATAGAAATTTTTCTTAGCATATTACTTTGTTTAATATTTTTATCTGCCACTCTTCTTTTAATATAATAGAAGATATACATTTTATTATTCTTGAAATATTTTTTATTTTAAATTTTATTCTATCAATAATATTGTTTGAATTTTGATGAATATATATACTTTTTATTTTAAAAAGAATAAAGAAAATGATTTTTTTTTAAAAAAAAAACAAAGAAATTAGCTAACCTAAATCAACTGTCACCCACGTTCGAATAGTTAATTTAGGTATATTTTTTCTCTTTTTCTCTTTTTCTTTTTTCTTTTTTTCTTTTAAATAAAAAGTGTAAGTATCCTTTTAAATTCTAGTTCCACGTGAAAACTACCCACAAAGTTGCGCTGAATTGATATGCTTGAGGTACTAATAGGATGAAAGAAGGACCAAACAACAACAAAAGTAATATAATTTTTATTTGAAATAAGTTACAATATGTATCAATTGCCAAAAAATTTAGAGATATAATCAATTTTTAATTATTTATGGCATTAAAAATTCATTAAAAAGATAGCCAAGAGCTACAAAAAATAATTTAATCCATATATATCAATTACCAAAATTTAGGAGATAAAGTCAGTTACCAAAATCTTAGGAGATATAATTAATTTTTAATTTTGTGACATTGAAAAATTAAAAAGATTGCCAAAATCTACGATTTCAAAGAGTGTATAAGACGAAAAAAATAAAAGAAATAAGTTCATCTTTTTCGCGCATTACATTACTTGTTCCATTGCCCATTCCACACAAATAGCCTGAAAGAAGAGGAAATACGTTATTCTTTTTATCAGCAAAAGCTGCAACATATCAAAACGCAAAGAAGAGGGAAAAATGGAGGTTTTTTAAGAGTATATAAGACGAAAAAATATATATATTAAAAAAAAAAATAAGTTCCATGCAACCCGACATAAATTCATAAAGCAATAGGATAACATTGTCAGAAAACAATAATAACCTAGGTAGCAAAGACCTGGTAAATTATTAATTGGTAGATATAGGAAAAGATCACATTAAGATCCAAATTATTATTACATCCTTATTTCATAGTAATGTTATTAAAAGAATTTGAGTTTTGAAAATAACGTCATAGCCTAAAGAATCTTACCAACTTCCATGAAAAACTTAAAATCGACATTAGGATATACACAGTCATAAATATCCATTGAATTGTTATGGTAAAATTCTAAGTGATAACTACAACAACAATGCATAATAACCTGCATTCGGTACCACAAACCTCATGACCGAAAATCTCTGAAAACCTACAAAAAGAGAAACAAAAAAGAGAGAGACCAGTTATCAATATAATTAGAAGGGCAGAATAGCCTAAATGGCACCTGTACTTCGCCCACTTTGTCATGTCGGTCCCCAAAGTTAGACATTTGTCAACTGAACACTTATACTCATTCAAAACGTGAATAATACACGCTTATCCAACGTGGCTTATCCTATGTGTCATATGTGGCTTCAGTGCGTGATTCACACGCTTGTAAGGGGCGTGAAGATATTTAAAAAAGCCCTAAAGGTAATAAATTAGCCTATTTAACAACCATCTTCTTCTTTCTACCTTATTCTCCATTGTTGAACAATATAGAAGCTAAATTTAGCAAATCCGATGCCTTCTTCTTTGTTTGTTAGCTTCAACAGTGAAAAAATAGAATTTTATTTTCCTGATTCTTCGTTGCCCATCAATTTTTGCCATCTCCTTTTGTTTTAAAAGTCAATTTTTTCTGCTTCTCCTCCAACAAATAAGCTACTGCCGCCAGTCCAATTCAAACCTCCATTAGAAAATTGTCGCAGCTATAATGTGCAAAGTTTCCAGATCTAGGTAATCTCTAACAACATCCCGAATCAATTTCAAGCCCACATATCCTCATTAATACACTTAAGCACTGGTGATAATAATCTGCAGGGATTAATCCCCGCTACAATTGGTTCACTTTCTAGTTTACAAGTAATTTCGCTGTCGCGAAATCAACTATTTGGGGTGGTCCCTGCATCATTTTTCTGTAATGGGTCATCTGTCAATGCTCCTCATGCTATTAGGATCATTGAGTTTGGATTGGCTAACAATACCTTAACTGGTGAAGTTCCTGAGAGTATAATGAATCTTGCTTCATTGGAGATACTTGACCTTGGTGGGAATAGGTTTTCTGGTTTGATTCCACAGTTTTTGGGTAATTTGACAAGCTTGAGAATGTTGTCTCTTAGTGGGAGTAATTTTCAGCAAGTTTGGGGAGTCTTTATCAGCCAGTTTGGTAATCGAGAAAGAACTGAAGTCGGAAAGTGAAGAATAACCTCATCAGAGAAATCACAGAAGAGAAGAGAGGAGACACTCACTGTTGTTCGATACTATCTAAGCCCTAACTACGCGGTTAATTATAAAATAAGGGGCAAATGTGGGTTTGGGGGTTAAATAATCTTGGGCCGATTTTTAATCCTATTTGGCCATGGTGTGTGACTTGGAGCCTACGTGGTCTTCTAATTATTGACGTGGCGTCCTACGTGTATGCGATTGTCATACACGCACTGGCAGCTACGTTGGATAAGCGTTTATTATTCACGTTTTGAATGAGTATAAGTGTTCAGCTGGCAAATGTCTAACTTTGGGGACCGGCATGACAAGATGGGTGAAGTACATGTGCCATTTAGGCTATTCTGCCAATTAGAAGTGATAATAGTTTGAAACGGTTTCAATTAGTGGAAAGGAACCGTTTAAATTAGTGAACGGTTTGAATTCGCAAGTTGAGTTTTTTTTTTCTTTTTTTCGTCTGCCTATTTTCTAGTTTAAAATAATATTGTGGTTGCCAATTGTGATTTTAAATAATTTTGAAACTTCAATAAAGTTGGAGAATTGTCCAAAAAATTTACGCATGTCAACTTACTGTTATGCCACTTGTCAACATAACCTTGCTTTGTAATATAAAGTTTTCTGGTTTAAAAATTAAAATTTTTCTGGTGATGACACTTATCATCCCCTCCTTATTTTGCCTCTCCTATTATATATATATAGAAAATATAGAATTTATTTTCAATATAAAGTTTTAATTTTTACATTCTTTACTATGTTTGTTGTGATTATTTTATTATTATATATTTTATTTTGTGTGAAGTAATAATAACATGTGAAGGCTTTTCCTCTCATTTTAATAATATATAGATTTTTCTCCTTTTTCTTCGTAAATAAATTGTAAAAATTGCCGATTCAACAATGGAAGAAAGTTTTTATTTATTCGTAATTGCCAAGTTTTATAAAAAATAAAGTAACTGAACGAATAAATTTCTCCCATTTCCAACAAATGTGGGACATTTATAAACATAGGAGATTTTGGGGTAATACAAATAAAAATTTTTAAAGGAAAATGAACACACACCCCAAGCAGGCTATTAAGCTTATTACCGTGTTATCTTTTAGATGATAAGATACAGTATCAAATATGTACATAATTTTTTAAAACTATTTCACTACATTCTAGCAACGTCTGAGAAAATATATTTAATAAGTTAGACTTGGAGTAATTATTATGTTCTTAAATTTTCAGGTTTAATAAATAATTTAAAAAAGTACAATATCAAATATGTAAATTAATTTTTAAAAAGTATTTCACTACATTCTCGCAACGTCTAAAAAAGTAAATTTAATGATTTAGACTTGGAGTAATATTTTCTTTAAAAATTTCAAGGTTTAGTAAATAATTTTTAAAAAATGCCCAAAAAGAGTTTGAATCCAACGTGGGAGTCCATGTTGTAGTTAAGTGGGAAGGTTCAAAAAATTCGAATTATTTCCTATTTTAAATTATTTTGAATTTCCAAATGTATTGGAAGTTTGTCCTAAAATTTAATACTTGTTGAAATGTGGTTGTGCCACTTGGCATTCTAATATTGTTTTGCCTTTCCTATTCTATATAGATAGATTAAAATTATATTATTTAGCTGACTTCAAATCCCTAAATATTAGGCAGATTAATAAATATAAATATAGATATAGATAGATACATAAATATGAATACAAATTAATAGCTTGTTTGGCCATATTTTTTTGTGCTAAAATATTTTTTGTGCCAAAAATACTTTTGTCTTTTTCATTTGAGGACAAATAATTTTAAAATTTTGGTCAAAAAAGACTATAACCTCGGTAACTATAAATATCCAAGTATGCAACGAATGAATATTAGAAATTGAATAAATACCCTCACATGTGATATATGTAAACAAACTTGAAATAGAATTATTACGGGAGATCACTTCGTCTAATATTTTTCACCTTTCATCCTTGGGTGATTTTATAATTATATCCCTAAATTCTATAAATATTTTAGGGTATAAAAGTCGATCAACGTTTCAAGGATATTTTCGTCGTTCAACAAGCCTAAAACATTCGTGTTTTATAATAATAATACAGATATATATATTAGATTTTGAACTCTTATTTTTAAAATTTACATCACTTAATTAACTTTTAGGGGCGATACCCATGTTTTTTAATTTCGAGAAAACATGCAGAATGGTATTATTTTGATGACAATTTCAATATTGTACTACTACATCAAGCTAGTACGGAGTAATAAATAAATTAAAAAACAGCTAAACAAAAGACTCCCATGTTGTAATTTATAATCAGCAAAATCCAGGAACAACCTGAACCTCCATTCTTCCTGTTTACACCATCCCTTCTCCCCTCGGTGCCCCCCCCCCCCCCCCCCCCCCCCCCAAAAAAAAATTGCTCCTTTTTCTAGTTGTCATGTCATTCAACCTATAGCACGCGAACATTCTTCAGTTTCCTCTCCAAAATCTTTCTCTCTCGTTCTTTCAATCTTTGTAGTAAGTCGCATAAAAATTCTCTGTTTTTATCTGTTTGTTTGACTTTGTGAGCACACAAGAGGGAATACCCAGAAACTGAAATGACAAGAATACCACTTGAATTTGGTCTAGGGCCAAAGTGGTGGGAGCAGATCAATGAGTCTGTTGAATGGCAATATGGAATTTTTTACTCTCTCTGTTCTGCCTTTGCTCTTGTCTCCTCCGTTGCCCTTGTAATTATTCTCTCTCTCCATCTCTCTAATTCTCACTGTATTATGATTACAAGAAAGAATGTGTTTTGTATTATGAATTTAAATTGGACGTGGGTAATTGTCAAGAATTAGTTTTTTTTTTTTTCTGAATTAATCTATCTCAGTGAAGTTGGGGAGTTGAAAAAATAACATCTTTATGATGAAACTGCTGTTTAGTTGATGATACAAAGTTCAATACTTGCTGCAGATAGGGATGTTTGATAGGTAAGGTCTCGGGATTCTGTGGAAACTGAATTACTGGGGTTTAACTATGACTAATTGCTGTTTAGTTAACTGTTGTTATTATCGTTGTTATTATTATTATTATTATTTTTTGGGAGAGGGGGGGGGGGAGGGCTTGGTTTCATTAGTTGCATGCTATTAATTGATGGATGTATTTTACCTACTTTTGTGGTGTATCAGATTTACTTTCTCCATGATTCTCAGTTGGATGTAGGACTTCTGGTTGAGTGTATGTGTTGACCATGTGCAGATTCAATTAATAAGAATACAGATGAGAGTACCTGAATATGGTTGGACTACTCAAAAGGTTTTCCATCTCATGAACTTTGTTGTAAATGGAGGTAACACAGAGTTAGCATAAATAATATGTTGTAATTTTTGCATCAGTGAATTGATTTTAAATATAAATCTACTTTCCTCAGTTCGTGCGATTGTCTTTGGATTTCACAAACAAGTGTTTTTGTTCCATCCCAAGGTAAGTTCTTTGGATTATCCGTGATGTTTTTTGTTTTGACTTTAACAACTATAGTTCTGCTGTCTTCATGTTCTGTTTCAATAGCATTTGACAATGTATATTTACTTGAATAAATTGCCTGTCGTTATATTCAATTTCCTCCCAGGTTTCTTTACCTGTTTTAATTTTGTTGTTTCTGAAGTTAATATCCCGCTCACTGACTAATCTTATAGTCTACTAGCAATATCCTGTCAATAATGGCCGGCCTTATATGTTAAATCTATGAGCTTATTTAATTAAAACTGGTTTAGATTCTTTATTTCATATTACTTCTGAAGATTATAGTAACTACTCCATCTTCTACAGGTCTCAACTATTGGGAAGTTTGTGGATTCTTTCCCGAACTGTAGCAATTTAGTTGCTACCTTCAACATTTAGCTTTAAAACCTATTAGCCCCCTATGAGCTCTATACTAGGAAAAAATTTAGTCCATGGATACCACCTGATAACCACATGACTGTGGTTTTCTATCACTTTACTTAAAATTATCTTTTTCTTTGTCTTGATTATATTAATGCATAAATAATAGCTACCATCAAATTATGGGATCAAAGTGTTAGATGGGCCTAAAGGCAAGAAAACATGAAAAATTACATAGAATAAGACTGCAGTTTGCAAATGTAACTCCAGGGCGCATTGTGGTGACAGCTGTTCTACACATTAAGTTTTTGGTGTTGATGATGTGAGAAGAAGAATTTAATACATACCACTACTGCCTCTTGAGCTGCTTCGTAATTGTTTCCCGGTCGACATTAACATTTACTCCATTTTAAACCAGGTGCTGACTTTGGTATTATTGGATCTACCGGGCCTGCTTTTCTTCTCAGCGTATACACTTCTTGTTCTATTTTGGGCTGAGATATATCACCAGGCAAGTGAATATGTAGCATCCTGCAGGCATAATATTGACCCGTCAATTCTGAAATTTGCGCTTGTATAAATGAGCAGGCTAGAAGTTTACCAACAGATAAGCTGAGAACCTTCTATATTTCAGTAAATGGTGCAATATACTTCGTACAGGTTTGCTACATACTTCGCCTCTTCATTTACTAGTAGCCTTTCTTTGTTACTTTGTAAGGATATATACTAGATTAGATATTGATAATTAATTTTTTTTTAATAATATTTGCTTTCGAGAATGTGAAATATATTTGAGATATCTAGGAAACCCATCAATTTCAGGCGGTGTTTTCTAGCCAAAAACCACTTCCATTCTGTTAGGAATAGAGCGCTTATAAAAATAAAGTAGTTCATTATTCTTGATTTCTGGGTGAATAGCCTAACCTACTCCCTTGCAGCAAAGTCAACACGCTACTCATCTGTTAGACCTCTATCTCTGTATATATAACTCAAATAATGGTTTTGTGTCAGGCTTGTATCTGGGCATACCTCTGGATGAACGACAATAGCACTGTGGAATTCATTGGGAAGATATTTATAGCAGGTGAATCTTTATGTGCAGTTTCTCATATATACTGAAGGATAGAACTGTTTTCGGGGTTTCATGTTTCTCATTAATCTTATCATTTCATTACATTTGGTGCAGTTGTATCATTTATTGCTGCATTAGGATTTTTGCTGTATGGCGGAAGGTGAACTAACTGCTATTTCTTGGTGCATTTATCTTCTTAAGCCGTACAACCTTACATCATACCTTAGACATAACTGATTTTGTATTCTTGTTCTTGTGGACTTCATCTTTTTACTATCATCAGGTTATTTTCTATGCTGAGACGCTTCCCCATCGAATCTAAAGGGAGAAGAAAGAAGCTTCATGAGGTTTGCGCCTTCAGCCATTTACCTTCTTACTAGTTGGATAGAGCTTGTTTGGTGTTTTTTTTTGGATTGGTGTAGTGCCGTAAATGCGTGCATGTAACTTTTTCAATTCTTTCCTAAAAAAAAATACCCACCATTTAGGAATAATTTGCTTAAAACTTGGAAGTCTACGAGTTGTGATGGTTTTGCTCATTCCCTTCTGGGATTTTTCAGCTATAGCAGAATTTACGAAGAAATGATAAAATCTGCCACTGTATGTCTATTGAAGTTAGCACTTGAATCATCATGTAAACAGTCAAAAGCTAATTTGATGTATGTATACAACAATATGTCAAGTGTCTTTATCAACTGAGAAAGAACTATGTGCATTGACTGCACGTCTGGATCAATGGGGATGCAACCGATTATTTAAAGTATATGTCAAAATGGATCCACTTTTAAGTGCTTTCGTTTCTGGGGTTCCTCTACAGATGAACAATCAAGAATTGATAATAACAAAATTTCGCTTAGGTTCTTAGGGAGATAAGATTCTTGTCAAGATCTGTTAGCTAATGGAATGCCTATACTTTTTGTTAATTGAAATTGGAGGATGAAATGCATGCACAATATTGCTACACCTACCAACTTCAATAAAACACATTTTCTTGGTTGACCTGCTTGTTCAAAAAACTCTTCTACTTATAACAATTGTACTATCCTCTAGTTGATTTCATATGCTTTTCGTCAGATGTGTCTCATTTATGTCAATAGAGTTGAATGCATGTATAAACATTATAGATAATGCATGACATTGTAGTTCTCAAGATCTCTTACTATTTGGTGGTTCACATGGATATGACATATGCGTATGATTGCAGGTCGGATCTGTAACTGCCATTTGTTTCACTTGTTTCCTCATTAGATGCTTTGTGGTAAGGCTCTTTTTCCCTCTCCTTTTCTCTTCTATATATTGTTAACCTTTTATTTTGCGGCCACTTAATGGCCTCCATGTGTCATTTGGATTTGCCAAATCATTGATCAAACAACTCTCTCAACTCGCCTATGAGGAAGTCAAAGCACGGCACCAAGGTTTAATTGGTTGCTTTTGCAAGTCAGAGGTGAAATGTTGTGGTTATTTTAACATAATAAGATATAATTTGTGTGCACCCTTCTGCAACTCTCACTTCCTAGAGAAAGAAAAGAAAAAAATAACTACCCTATGAGTATAGATATTTGATACAGAAAAAGGTTAGCTTTAAAAGCAACTGTTGCTTTGAGCTTGAGAGTCAAGGCCGCCTTAATCCCTTAATAGTTCCTTACTTTTAAGAGGTATTAGTATCCAGCCAAAGATCGAATCCTCTTTCAAATGTCCCAATGGTTATTAACGTCAGTGCCACCAGCTTCCATGCCTGTGAAACTTCTTTATTGCTGCTACTCTTTCTCACTGCAGGTTGTGTTATCAGCTTTTGATGCTGATGCGACACTAGATGTCTTGGACCATCCAGTTCTAAATCTGATGTACTACATGGTATGCATTGTTTCCTTTTCCATGCTCCTTGGATACACTCTATCCCTCCTCTCTCTCTCTCTGATCACGTTCTTCTGTGGTGGCAGCTCGTGGAAATTCTTCCTTCAGCTCTTGTGCTTTACATCCTGCGGAAACTGCCTCCAAAACGAGTATCTGCTCAATACCACCCTATCCGTTAGCTGCATCAGGCGTATATCTTCAGTCCTATAATTTCCTAATGGTTGCAGCAATCGAAGTTAGTGGAGTTGTGCTGGAGGCATGGAGCTGGAGAAGAGGATCAAGAAGTGTAAATCAGTGGAATATCTCAATTCTTTCGCCAGTTACACAGAGCTGCCGTCCTTACAGTTTTGTTACTTTGTGGTTTGAGGTTTTTGAATATGTGTATATTTGTGGAACACAGATGATTAAGAAAATTAGTCTCATCACTTCATTGTGGTTGGTTTTGTCCTTGGTCTCATCTCTAGTACTGTTTCACTGTTAGTGCATTGCTGTGTGTCCTGTACTATAGGATCCCATTGTATTACTCAACCTAATTGACTAGTGATAGGTGATATGCCTTAAGTGACTTATTTCACATTTTTGTTGTCAGTTTTATTTTGCTTTTCAATCAAGTTGTTTTCTCTAAATTTAATAAAGACCACTTCTGGTTTCAAAAATCTCTTGTAACCTTGATTTCTTTATATTTCCAATACAAGCTTAAGCCAGTGCAATTAACGTACAGCTACAATTTGTGGCATTGATTATGTGGAATATTATCTCACAGCAACTGGCCTAGTCGTCACTACTGGTTCCTCAGCAAATGATATTATCAAATGAATTTGTCATGTTTTAAATTGAAAAAAGAAATACTAGAAGAAGTTGAGTGTTAAATTAACATTTTCGCATCGCAAAAAGCAGAAGAATAAAATTCAAATAAGAACATATATTAATCTTATTTTTTATTTTATATATTATTTAGTCTTATTAAATAGGTTTAGAACCTCTCATTAATTTTTGACTTTAGGCCATATACTATTGTTGAACCATTTCATTTTTCTAAGTTCAATGTTAGCTAGATTAGTCACCATAATTGGTCCCATTTTATTCATGAACTGACTTGAATTGGTATGAAGAGGAGTACAACACCATCCGCACTCATATTGGCTAATCAAACTCAAAGCGGCCGGCTTCTTTTGAATGGATCAGCAATAAAACCGTCGATTCTTCAGAATCTAATATCGGACCACCTTTAAAGTTACTCGGTTGCCTCTGTCATGGACAAATATGCGCCTGAACATCTCTCTGTCCGATTAATGGTGCACTGTGGGCCGGGCCTGGCCCGGGACCGGACCGGGACCGCGGTACAAATGGGCTAAACGGGCCTGATGGGCCGGTCCCAAATGGTGCACAAGGCCCGTGGCGGGCCGGTCCAATTCAAGGAGCCCACGAGCCCGGGACCGCTAAGCCCGGGACCGGCAGGCGGGCCTGGGCCGGTTCAACCGGGCCTAACGGGCTCCAACGGCTATTTTTATAAAAAAAAAATTTAAAAAAAAGACCAACGGTCAGATTTTTAAAATCTAGCCGTTGGCCTTCAAAATTTATCCGTTGGCCACTTTAAAAAATAGCCATTTGGCCCCCTAACTTTATATAATTACACTTTTTCCCAATTCTCAACTATAAATACCCCCTCATTCTTTCATTTTTACTCACCAATTCATCAATCTCTCTCAATCTCTCTCAATCTATATCTAATTTCTCTTCTATAATTGCTTATTTTATTATTGCAATTTCGTGAAAAATTGTGAAGTTGTTTAATTGAAGTATTCAAGTCTTCAACGATTTTCAATTTTCAAGAAGTTGTTCGGCAATTCGGTAAACTCGTTCCAACTCTTAAGTTTTAAGAATATATTTTTGTGTGTTTTAATTTGCATAATTGTAATTAATATGGCATTTTCTTTGAAAAAAATGTTTGGTGGTAAGGGAAAAGCTAAAATTGGTGAAAGTAGTCGCCAACCTACTACCCTTCCCCCGGCTCCCCGACCCAGACCTGTTACCCGTCCTGCTGCTCCTATTATTCTTGATAGTGATAACCCTTGTTTTCAATTTTCCGATAGTGAATTTTGCCATAATGTTGCACAAGGTGAACAATTAAATGAAGAAGTTATGAATGCTCTTTATCCTAATCAAACTATCTTAGAAAATGATGAGGAAAATGAGGATGTAGATGAAACCCAACCGGATTTAGATGATTCACCTACTAGTCCTGTTAATAACCCAACTGATGCCCCGCCCGACCCACCTGTAGAAACCCCTACTTTTAATAGACAACCTTCTAAACGCCTAGAAACATCAATAGTTTGGAATTTTTTTACTCAAGTAAGAGAACAAAATAAGGCTAAGTGTAAAACTTGTGGGAAATTGCTGGCGCATAAATATACTGGAGACCGTAGCGGTACGGGTAGTTTGGCTAGGCACATACAAACACACCCTAGAGATAAAGTTAAATATTTACAAATGAAAGCGCAGCAAGAGGGGACAAGTGTAGATACTACGGTTAACCCTAGTACAGGTTCAAATCTAGTTCAACCAGGAATTAACACTGTGACCGGTGGTATTTTATATTACGATCCTAATAAAGATCGTGAAGAATTAGCAAAGATGGTTACTGTTATGTGCTTACCCTATACTTTTCCTTCTAACCCTAATTTTGTGCATTATATTAGAAAAGTTTTTAATCCTACTTATAAAGGTTGGCCTCGCGCAACAGTTAAGAGCGATATTTATAAATATAAACATGAATATGAACAATATTTGCGGTATTTATTTACTCATATAACTAATCGGATTTCTATTACTACTGATATTGGTAGAAGTAATAATGACTGTGATTATCTAACTGTTACAAGTCATTGGATAGATGAGGAGTGGATAATGCAAAAACGCATTATTGCTTATAGAATAATTAATTCACGTCACACAGATAAGTTTATTGCTAACACTGTTGCAGATATTTGTAGATATTTTTGCATTAGAGATAAAATAATGACAATTTCTATGGATAATGCTTCTAGTAACACTAGTGCTATAGGCATACTTACAACAACACTAAATCCTGCATTTAGTAATTGTTTCCATGTGAGATGTATTTGTCATATTTACCATTTAATCGTCGGTGATGGTATGAAATTTTAAAATTTGAAAAATTGAAAAAAGGTTGAAAATGGCTCTTAAATTGGCTTTTTTATTCAAACCGTAGAAGTAGACTTAGAGAGTATTTTAAAAAATGTGAATGTAAATTGGTCCTTAGAGAAAAGAAAAGGTTTTCCAAAACCTTTGTCCGAAACTATATGTACGGTTGGTGATGGTTTTGCACTCATTCCTCTGGGATTTTTCAGCTATAGCAGAATTTACGAAGAAATGATAAAATTCTGCCACTGTAGTATGTCTATTGAAGTTAGCACTTGAATCATCATGTAAACAGTCAAAAGCTAATTTGATGTATGTAATACAACAATATGTCAAGTGTCTTTATCAACTGAGAAAGAACTATGTGCATTGACTGCACGTCTGGATCAATGGGGATGCCAACCGATTATTTAAAGTATATGTCAAAAGGATCCACTTTTAAGTGCTTTCGTTTCTGGGGTTCCTCTACGAGATGAACAATCAAAGAATTGATAATAACAAAATTTCGCTTAGTTCTTAGGGAGATAAGATTCTTGTCAAGATCTGTTAGCTAATGGAATGCCTATATTTTTGTTAATTGAAATTGGAGGATGAAATGCATGCACAATATGTATCATTACAACTATAAAACAAATTTTCTTGGTTGACCTGCTTGTTCAAAACTCTTCTACTATATACTTGTACTATCCTCTAGTTGATTTCATATGCTTTTCGTCAGATGTGTCTCATTTATGTCAATAGAGTTGAATGCATGTATAAACATTAAGATAATGCAGACATTGAGTTCTCAAGATCTCTTACTATTTGGTGGTTCACATGGATATGACATATGCGTATGATTGCAGGTCGGATCTGTAACTGCCATTTGTTTCACTTGTTTCTCTCATTGATGCTTGTGGTAAGGCTCTTTTTCCCTCTCCTTTTCTCTTCTATATATTTGTTAACCTTTTATTTTGCGGCCACTTAATGGCCTCCATGTGTCATTTGGATTTGCCAAAATCATTGATCAAACACTCTCTCACTCGCCTATGAGGAAGTCAAAGCACGGCACCAAGGTTTAATTGGTTGCTTTTGCAAGTCAGAGGTGAAATGTTGTGGTTTATTACATAATAAGATATAATTTGTGTGCACCCTTCTGCAACTCTCCATTCCTAGAGAAAGAAAAGAAAAAATAACTACTATGTATATAGATATTTGATACAGAAAAAGGTTAGCTTTAAAAGCAACTGTTGCTTTGAGCTTGAGAGTCAAGGCCGCTTAATCCCTTAATAGTTCCTTACTTTTAAGAGGTATTAGTATCCAGCCAAAGATCGAATCCTCTTTCAAATGTCCCAATGGTTATTAACGTCAGTGCCACCCATGTATATGTAAAACTTCTTTATTGCTGCTACTCTTCTCACTGCAGGTTGTGTTATCAGCTTTTGATGCTGATGCGACACTAGATGTCTTGGACATATCCAGTTCTAAATCTGATGTACTACATGTGATGCATTGTTTCCTTTTCCATGCTCCTTGGATACACTCTATCCCTCCTCTCTCTCTTCTCTGATCACGTTCTTCTGTGGTGGCAGCTCGTGGAAATTCTTCCTTCAGCTCTTGTGCTTTACATCCTGCGGAAACTGCCTCCAAAACAGAGTATCTGCTCAATACCACCCTATCCGTTAGCTGCATCAGGCGTATATCTTCAGTCCTATAATTTCCTAATGGTTGCAGCAATCGAAGTTAGTGGAGTTGTGCTGGAGGCATGGAGCTGGAGAAGAGGATCAAGAAGTGTAATCAGTGGAATATCTCAATTCTTTCGCCAGTTACACAGAGCTGCCGTCCTTACAGTTTTGTTACTTTGTGGTTTGAGGTTTTTGAATATGTGTATATTTGTGGAACACAGATGATTAAGAAAATTAGTCTCATCACTTCATTGTGGTTGTTTTTTGTCCTTGGTCTCATCTCTAGTACTGTTTCACTGTTAGTGCATTGCTGTGTGTCCTGTACTATAGGATCCCATTGTATTACTCAACCTAATTGACTAGTGATAGGTGATATGCCTTAAGTGACTTATTTCACATTTTTTGTTGTCAGTTTTATTTTGCTTTTCAATCAAGTTGTTTTCTCTAAATTTAATAAAGACCACTTCTGGTTTCAAAAATCTCTTGTAACCTTGATTTCTTTATATTTCCAATACAAGCTTAAGCCAGTGCAATTAATACAGCTACAATTTGTGGCATTGATTATGTGGAATATTATCTCACAGCAACTGGCCTAGTCGTCACTACTGGTTCTCAAAAATGTATTATCAAATGAATTTGTCATGTTTTAATGAAAAAAAGAAATAATGTAACAGTTCAGAAGAAGTTGAGTGTTAAATTAACATTTTCGATAAACGCAAGAAGCGATAAATCATAATAATAAGAACATT